TTTATTCACAAACTTTTTCTGTGTTGTCATTCCCTCCGTATTGTTTCCAGGAGGAAATATGATCTGTCTGTTCACAATATCAACTCTCACAACACCATCGTCCACAGCTACTCCAGTCAGGGATCCTAACAACCAACCTTGTTAATAAATATGTTTCCTAAAAATAACAGTAGGAAAACACTAGCACAACATTCCATTTCTCTTTCAAATGTACTCAACAGACCCACTTCAATGTTTGAGGTTTTTTTGCTTTATTGTTTTTGTTTTTAAGCTTAAGAATGAGCCAAGTGTGAACTAGGGGACCCTACAGCTCAAAAGTAGATGCGAACATAAGCTCCTTCACCACTGTATCCCCAACCCCTGCACAGTACCCCACAGAGGGAACACTTCATAAACACGTGCTGAATAAATGAAAGGAGGAAAAGTAGGACAGCATAACAGTTAAGGGCACAAACTCTGGACTCAGATCTGGGTTAGAATCCCAAATCTCCCACTTATGGAGAGGTTGTACATGTTTGGGAATGGGGTAAATAGAAACTGTACTTTTTGTTCAATTTTGCTGCGAACCAAAAATTTTTCTAAAAAATAAAGTTTATTAATAATAATAAATAAATAAACCACAAATCTCCCACTTAAGGGCTTGTAACACTGATAAGGGCTCAGAATTCTGCCAAGAATTTTATGTGCATTATCTTATTTAATGCTCCCTCCCTCCAAAGCTTTAAGGTATTATTTTCTCTCATTTCACACTTGGTCAAAACTAAGCAACTTAGGGCCGGCCCGGTGGCGCACTGGAGAGTACGCCGCTTGGGAGCGCGGCGGTGCTCCCACTGAGGGTTCGGATCCCATGTGGAGACCGGTTCCGCTCACTGGCTGAGCGCAGTGCGGGTGCAACACCAAGGGTTGCGATCCCGTTACCGGTCAGTAAAAAAGACAAAAAGGAAAAAAAAAAAAAAAAACTAAGCAACTTGCCTGAGGCCACACGGTTAATAATTCCAAGCCTAAACCCCTAACCCCTATGATAAACTGCTTCTTACCACTGACTTGGAGACTTGGGGCAAAATATTTAAGCACTCAATTTGTTAAAGATTGTGGCTCTGAAGATTAAGTTAAGATAAGATTTGTAAAATGCTTAGCACAGAGTCAGACAGAGCAAACTGCTCAATAAAATACAGTTATTATTAGAGTTACTAGTGAGTCTATAGTGAGCTGCTTCAAGCAGAGGGACTTCGGGTTCTATAAATTACACGTTCCCCCCTTTCTGCCGGAACCACCATCTTTTGGTAATTCACCGAAAGGACTAATACAAAAGGAAAGAGAAGAGGCACTGATGTATGTTCTCTAGGCCTTTTAGAAAACATAGAGTTGTTCCTTTGGCCACATACATGAGAATCTACAAGAAAGGTGATATCCTAGACATCAAGGTAATGGGTGCTGTTCAAAAAGGAATGCCCCGCAAGTGTTACCATGGCAAAACTGGAAGAGTCTGCAGCGTTACCCAGCAGGCTGTTGGCACTGTTGTAAACAAACAAGTTCAGGGCCAGATACTTGCCAAGAGAATTAATGTGCGTATTGAGCATATTAAGCACTCTAAGAGCCCAGACAGCTTCCTGAAACACTGAAGGAATACGATCAGAAAGAGAAGGAGAAAGAGAAAGGAATCTGGGTTCAGCTGAAGCCCCAACCTGCTCCACCCAGAGAAGCACATTTGTGAGAACCAACGGCAAGGAGGCAGAGCTGCTGGAACCAATTCCCTACAAATTCATGGCATAATGGGTGTAAAAAAACAAAACAAAAACCCAAAATCTCTGTACCGTTTCTCTTAATTGAGTAGAAGTATGGTGTCCCCTCCCCTAAAGAAATATCTAAAGCAAAAAAATATATATATATATATATAAATTTATATATATACATATATATGTAAAACACATTCTCTGGAAAACAGTCATTTTCATGATCTAGGCAGCCAAAGAAAAAAGAGCAAATTATGAACAATATTTATCTTGGATATGGTCAAAAATCTCCAAAAGAGAACAACAGATAAGAAATCCTTTGCTAGCCTAGAAATGATGATCGTGCTTGAAGTTAGGGGGCGCCATACTGCTGTACATTTTAGGAAATCCCTTTCCCCCAGAGGGTCTCCATCACCCTTGAATTTTTCTCCAACAAAGATAAGGCAGATAAATTTCTGACCAATGATAACTTTCTTGGTAGGGAGAAAGACCATCTAATATTTCTTTCTATATTGTTCCACAATTCCAATTTTAGGTCCGATATATATTCTTGTTTAATTCCCAATGCCTTTGCTGTTGCTTCATTGAGATAAAGGGTATCATTACATTATTCGATGACCTTTAAAAGTCCAGCAAAAACCAGAAAGTATTTAATTAAGATGAATGCATTAATGACCATAACCCCAAGAAATTTCAAGTAGCTAAGAAACAATTGGTTTAAAACTTACATATTGGCAATTGTTGAAACTGAGTGATGGGAACTCATACTAGTCTCTCTCTACGTTTATGTTTGGAAATTTCCTTAATAAAAAGTTACAAATAAATTTAAAATATACGCACAAATTGTCTTATAAAAATTTAGTTGTTCTAGAGCAAGGTGTTAAAACACCAACATCAAGGGTTTGGATCCCCATTCCCACCAACTGCCAAAAAAAATTAGTTATTACTGAAAACCCACTTGAAGGATGCAGAAGGAAACTGAGTCTATTATCACTACTCCGGGAAGAAGCACAAAATAAGGGACTTAGTTGAAGGAAGAAAAGTGAGTAAAGAAAAAATGTTAAATTAAGGTGAAAGTGACATAAATCATGTAGAAATGGAATGTGTTTCTATAATGTTTTAATAGTCAACTTCAAAGAAGAGACTCACGGCCACAGGACATCACTTAGCATACTTCTTTATATAAGCAAATCAAACTTTTTAAATTTTTTACTATCCTAATTGTTTGCTCAAGCCTGGTTTGCATTTGGTTCTAATCGGCCAGGGAATATCCCAATCTAGAGATGATTTTTCTAAAGGGCAGTAATGAAGAGCTTTGTGCCAAAACAGCCAAAGTAAAGCTGGAAATCTGGGTATGGGCAGATGTCTCTTCAATGGACAAGACGAATTTTCTCTTTTCAACACAGTCACCTTCTGAGAGGGCTAACTGATAAGTTATTTATTCTACCCGGAAGATAAACCATAACTGAAGAATCATATCTAGAGATCTTTTCTTTCTTTACCCTGATTTACACAGTGCTTTTTATTCCACTGAGTTAAATTCTAGCCTGAAACCCTACCCTTACCCGTTAAGTCAAAGCTAAATAAAAATATTTAACTTTCAAATACAGTAGTGACCTCTTTCTACCTTTTAATTCTGACCTCCCTCAGAGCAAACTCTGTCCCTAGAATGCTGGGAGAAAATTCCTAACACTTTAGTTTAGAAAAACTTTTAAAAACTGATAAGCCATCTGCTCTTCCAGAGTGAAGCTACAAGCACCTCAGTGACACTGAGGCTAATCCTGTCCTTCCCCCACCCTAGGAGACAAGCAAGCAAGGTCATTTAGTGCAAAAACAAAACTAATCTAAAGACAAATGACTTTCTAATCCACCACCAAAAGGATGGAAGAGTAAAGAAACACTTTAACATAAATCTTCTACAGAGTTCAGCTAACTCTGAATTTTTCCCAAATCAAAGTAAAATTTAGAAAGTAGCATTTTCTTCAAAGATTTATTTGTGTCCCTTAATAACGATGTTTTCAGGTATCCTATTCATGTGCTATTGGTTTGAAAGGCCTACGGAAACCTATGTCCCCTCCCTCTACTCATCCCCCTCAACTTCTACACATTTCCAGTTTTTACCACCTGCCCTTCATTAGGAGTGCTCCTCTCAGCTTATGGGACAGATGAGACAATAATGGCTTGTTTTATCACAGGATTAATCTTAAATTGAGAAATACTACATTTGAATGTTCGTCTTCCCTCTCAAGCTAGTATGCTTCCCCTCACTATGTTTCAGTAAAAGTTTTCCATAGTCTAAGTGCCCCTTGACCAGACCACAATACAGGTACAAGTCACTCAGAATTGCCACTGGAAAACTGGCTGGACTATCATTTGAAATAAGACTGAGTAGCAAGAATACCCCAAAATAATGTACGGGCATCAACATCATGATACCTACGTTCCCATATTTCTACCAATCTATCTGTGAATGTTCCCAAGATAAATTACTACACAGACAGTGACTTCTGGCTATGTGAACAAAAACACGGTTTCTTCCCAGAGCTACTTGATTCTCTCATGAGCACTTAATTGGTTGTTTCAAGTGGATTTTGCCATTAGTTGATAGTTAGGAAAAGAAAGGCGGTGGTGTAGAGCTCAGCACCAAGAGAGAATTTTCTGTCAAGGAGATAGATGGTCCAGCAGTGTCCAGGGTCCAAGAAGTCAAGGACAGCACTCAGAAGTGAAGGGGAGTTTTACCTATCCACATGCAAAGTGTTCTTTCCCACACTTGCCAAACTCCACAACCGGCACACTACAAAAGCACAACCGCCTCCAGAATTCATTGAGTGCTTTTGTAGGTATCCCTTCTGACCACAATGAAGGACAGTAGTAGGTGACTTTGAAGTAGGCATTTAAGATCACGAGCACACCTGTACCTCGTATCATACACAGTGTGGCTAATATCCTTCCCCTCGTTTGGATCTTTGAAAACCACCACGTATTAAAGTCGGACCAAAAGCCACATCGTGTCCTACTTGTACCACCCACCTAAGCACTGCAAAGTCAACGGAAGGTCATCATAACCTGAGTCCCTTAACATGGACTTTCGCTAGTAGGAATTAGGGCGGGGAGAAGAGGTGTAGGGGAAAGAGACGAACCACGGCTGACTTCTTGGTTAAAAACCAAAGTTTGCTTACAGCCCTCCGAAGGCTACATTCGAGCGACACCGAACGCCTCGCGTCCCCGCGGGCGGCAGCTGCGGAGGGGCGCCCGCGCGCGTCCTACCTTGGACCTCTCCTTCACGTAGTATTTGCCCAGCCGGCTCCCGCAGTACAGGACCAGCCTGTCGATGAGGGACAGGAGGAAGCTGATGGCCTCGCAGCCTTCCTCGTTGCCCCCGATCCACGTGATCTGGTCGCCCCGCAGGTGCCGCTTGGAGACGCCGGCGCGCGGCCCGGCCAGCTGGCCGTCCCGCAGGGCCCCGTTGCGGTGCAGCTGCTTGACGCGCTCCAGGACGCAGTCGCCCACCACCTCGCCCAGGAAGTTGTCCAGGTAGCAGAAGCCCACCTCGTGCAGACAGGGCACGATGTACTCCAGGGCGATTTTCTCCAGATCCAGCCTCATGATGTGTCCCAGGGGCATCTCGCCCGCACAGTCGAGGTCAGGGACCCCCAGTGTGCACTCAGAGAGGAAGCGATCTACGCGAGCGCGAAGCCGAGGCCAGGGGAGCGTAGCGCGGGGTTCAGTAACCTGCGGCGGCCACGGTCCCCGAGCCACCGCGATGCCAGGGACAGGGTAAAGTTGCTCGCAACTCTCGGGAGAAGAGATCCCTGTTCAGAGACCAGCGGGAGTTGTGCGGGGCTCCACGTCCCAGCGCCCGACTGGCCCCGCGAAAGAGTCGCAGGACCCCTTTTGGACGCAGAGCCACCACTGCTGCGGCGGCAGCCAGAGGCCGGGAGAGGCTGAGGTCCCACCCCTAAGCCGGCCGACTCAGCGCGTCACGGGCCCCGCCCCGGGACCGCCTCCGGGACAGCCCTTCTCCCCGCCACCCACCCACCCCGGCCAGTCCCCCGCCCAGTCCCCCGCCCAGTCTCCCCCACCGCAAAGCAGCCCGGCGGGCTGGCCGCCAACCTGAGTTGTTTGTGACTAGGGGAGGGGCTGGAGAACAGGCGAATGCTTAGAATGCTCTTGATTTGCACATTGTTTTGCATAAAATCCCATAAGAAACTTGAAAACCCGGATCCCCACTCTGAAAATGGAAGTGAAGTTTACGGCGCAGTTCACTGACACATTCTGGGCTGGTCACCACACAGGCTTTCGAGCAAAAACCCACGAACAAATATACGTATTTATTAAACAATGGTCTTGTCCTAGCTCTACCTGGTGCCTTTCCTTCTTCCTTCAGCTGTTTGATCCAGGTCAGGAGGTTCAAGCCACTGAGAGATTGGGAGGGATCCAGTTTTAGCTAAAATTGCCACATTAACAAACATTTCCCTTAGCCCCTACTCTGTGCAAGGCCCTATATGCTCCATGAGGAGGGGGATGTGCACACGAAGATGGGCTGTATCGTACCCGACTGAACCCTGCAAATACTGTATTGTACTTTGCTGGATGTTCTGAAATTCTACCTTGAGTATTAATCACATACTGGTGAAACAAGTCGATATAGATGTCTCCCAAAGTATTCACTGTATTCTAGGTCTCTCGTCTCACGTTTTCCACAAGCAGCTGCACTTTTTCAGCAGGGGTGAACGACACCTAGAAAAATCTTTAGTTATCCACAGATAAGCTGACTGCTTTATGAAGTTTTGATTCCCTTTCCCCGAGAACACAAGAGATCAAAATCAGGAAAAAATTCACAAGTTGCATGCAAAGCTATGTCCATATTTTTAATTTCACATTAGTGTGCACTCGGTTACTTCATCTAAGTTGAACAAAATAATTGTACAGGCTTTTCAGGTATTGTTTATTTTGGACACAATCCCCTACAGCTTTTTCACTTTTATTCTCCTTCCCATAGCCCTCTCCTCTGTGCCTCTGAGGGGAGAAATGCAGCGAAGTCCAGGCCAACAACAAAAAGCAGAGGAGAAAAGGGAGCTCCTGTGTGGTGGAAAGGAGCAGACAGGTGCAGGTGTTGGTGTAGGAACTTGAAGGATGTTCAGGAAGAGCAGTCAATGGTGGAGTGGTTAAGGAACTTTGGTGAAACTTCTAGTTGTATTGAGAGGAGGTTCTCTGCCAAGTCAGTGATTAGTTGGTACCTTTGCTAGGACCTTTCAGCAGGAGGTGTCCCTCCTTGGGGTAAAGGTTTGAATTGGGCAGTGCTCATGAGATGATGTCTGAATTCCCATGGCAGGTCGACAATGACAGGCGCCATCATCCTTGGAAGCCCAGCACCAAGCACATAGTAGCTGACTAATATACAGTTACTGGGAACCCGATGTCTGCCCCTGAGCCATGGCAACCTCCACGTGGGATTCGGGCATGTCTGGAAGTCTACAGGAAGGGGCTATTTGTAAGAGGAACTGGGGAATCTCCCCAAAGAGAATTCACTGGAAGAAAATGTCAGGCAGATTAGCCTCAGGGATACCTGAGGCCAGTAGAGGGAGCAGTTAGGAGTTCTGCGGGGCATTTGTCTCCTGGTTTTGTCTCCCCATCCAGCTATGATGGACGTTCGAGTGCTGGGATTCCTAAAGTGAAAGCTGGAAGACTATTTGCAGAAATGATTGAAACAGAGATGCAATACCATAAATGAGGAAGGCCTTTCCCCCTACTTCTGCTTGAACCCCACATAGTCAGGAACTGCTTTGGCCCCTCCAGTGATCTCCTCCAGGGGCACTATGGATAATGGGATAATCGGAAGAAGCCTAATCTGAGGCATCTTGCTTGTGGGCCCCAGTGCAGCTTTGGGAACTATTATAGACCTCAGAAGTAGATATCCCTGAAGAGGGCCACAATTAAAAAGGAAGGAAATGACAGATAATCCTTGGTAGCTGGCCAAAATTTTTTTAGTTGAAGGTTCTTTGTAAATACACAAATTCCTAGAAATAAGTAGGAGGGAATTTACAAAGGACTAGAAACCTGCAGTAGTTGTGGAGCAGGTGGTAGTCAGTAAAATACAGAAAATTACTTACCCACCCTTCCAAAATGAACATGTTGACCCAGAACTTTAAGTCTCAGGCAAGACTGGGTACATTTGGCTTGCTATTCAAACAAGATTTCAATAATTTCAGAATGAAATTGTAATTAGTCTACCTTTAACTAGCACAATAATCTAAGCAAGTTCTAGTACCTATTTGATGGCCTTAAGCTGTTCTAGATTACTTTTGTTGCAAAAGCATGGGCAATTTAGAGGGGACATCAATCCCTTGGCACCATCCCTGCTTGGCAAGGGCACTTATTAATCAATCAAGGACCTCCCCATTAGCTCAGGGCTGCCAGCACTGAATTTGGCAGAGGAGCCATGGAGATGCCATGTAGTGAATTGAATTATGTCCCCCCAAAACTCCCTGAAGCTTGAATTGTGTCCCCCAAGTTTTATGTATTAGAAACTTAGCCCCCACTGTGACTATTAAGAGGGTGGGAAATCCTATTATGGTAATTGAAAGGTGGAGCCTTAAAGAGATTGGATTGTAGGACTGTGCAGTAGGGAATGGATTAAAAATGGTGGTCAAGGGCGTGGTTCTGAGGGCCTTAAGAAAAGAGGAGAGTCTGTCTTTCTCTCTGCTCTCTCTGCTTCCACCATCTTGCAATGTGAGACCCTTGGGTCACTGTCACCACCACCAGATAGACTTTGGACTTCCCAGCCTCAGAAACTGTAAGCAATAAATTTCATTTTCTTTATAAATTACCCAGTTCCAGGTATTCTGTTAGAGCAACACAAAACAGACTAATACATACCATGACTGGCAAAAATCAGAGTGTGTGATTACATGGAAGGGCACAGACACAGGTTCTGAGTCTGAGCATCAGAGAGGCAAAACCCAAGCTAATTGTTAAAGTGCATTTGCTCTAGTTATTTGTCCATTAGTTTGTGTCATTATAATAATGAATATTAAAATACCTTTTCATATTAATAACTAAAACAAGTTAATTTCCCTGTAATTTAATTACAACATTGTCTTCAAGTGTGCATCTGCAGTATAGACGGGTCATTTTCAAGCATGGGGAGAAGAGGGGGAGAAAGAAGGATGTTGAATTTCTTTACCCTGGAATTTGAGCTGGAAGAGATCCTAGTTAATGTCCACGTAGTCCAACTACATTTTCCTACATATGAGGAAACCAAGGCCCAGAGGAAGTGGACATTAGTGACTTCCTAAGTAAGGCGTCTTAGATGAGTGGAAAAGGAAGCCTGGAAGTCTTCTGCCTTCTCGACTATAACAAAGACAGTACACTCTCTCTCCTATTGATGTATGTATGTATCATTTTTTTAATGAGGTGAAATTCACAAAACATAAAATTAACCATTTTAAAGTGAACAATTCAGTGGCATTTAGTACATAAACAATACTGTGCAACCTCCACCTCTCTCTAGCTCCAAAACATTTTCACCACCACAGAAGGAAACCCTGTACCCATTAAGCAGTTATTCTCCATTCTCCCCTGTCCCCAGCCCCTGGTCATCACTGACGTGCTTTCTGTCTCTGGATTTACCTATTCTGGATATTTCCTATAAATGGGATTATACAATATGTGACCTTTTGTGAGTGGCTTCTTTCACTTAGTATAATATTTTTCAGGTTCACTCACATGTATCATGTATCAGTACTTCATTCCTTTCTATGGCTGAATAGTATTCAATGCATATGCAACAATTTGTTTATCCACTTATTTGCTTATGGATATTTAGGTTGTTTCCACCTTTTGGCTGTTGTGAATAGTGCTGCTATGAACATGTGTGTGTAAGTATTTGAGTACCTGTTTTCAATTCTTTGGAATATATACCTAGGAGTGAGCTTGTGGTGCAGGAATCTCAGATCCTTCTGCCCCTTCCTGTGCAGGTCGTGAGTCAGGTAATCGAAAGAAGATATCTGGCAGTTTTATTCAAGGTAGACATATTTTATTCTTCAGATGTGAGCTTCACAGACATGCTTTATCCTCAAACATGAACTCTGCCAACCCTCCATGCTCTGCCTCACCTTCCGTGCTCTGCCGACCAGTGGTTCAGAGCAGTTACCTTTATACTTTTAGTACACAATAACTGGCACAAGCCAAGCATTACATAATTACAACAATCATGCTGAATTAGTAAATGGGCACACATGTGCAGTTACTCTACTTTT